TTTTCTCATGATACTATCAGCTCAAGGGGCAATGGATCTGTATTTTGGAGAGGAGATTTCCCAAATCTCATGGTACTGGAAAGTTTCCCTTTTTATCTGGTTTTTAGTATCCTGTTTTTAGTAGCCCGTTTAGGTGAAGATGGATAAAATCAAACATGTAGCAGGTTCTTTTCAGTTGCTGAGCAGAGAGAAATGCTTTTCTTAGAGTCAATCATAATTCAAAAGGGAGTAAGTATCTCATTTACTAAATAATGTGTTTCCAAGAAACGGTGCTATCTAAGTGGTCTTTTTATCAGACTTTATCACTCACAGTATGTAAACACAGAAAATAGCAGTGAGCAAAGGGGCAAATGTGAATTTAGAGGAATATGTTTTTGCTTCAATAATGAGCTGTTTCCTCCTGATAGAATTTACTACAAGTATATCTCTCCAACTGAAAAAATGTAAGCCTATTGCTCTTTGGTTGTCCATTCAGTGATGACTCAAAGTCATCCTTGACAATTGGATTTTGCAAAGTAAGTGGTTATCCTAGACCTCCTATCCATGGGCCTTTCCGTACATACTTTTATTTCCTACATTTCAATACTAATAAGAATTCAGAGCTAGTAAGAAATTGAAAACACCATCTAGTCTAGTCCTCTCATTGCTGGGCACTTAAATAGCTGTTTATTGATGAATGGACTTTACATGTGACACAATCATAGCTCAGAGTATAAATGATGTGTCCAGGGTCATAATTCAACTAAATTATAGTTTTGTCAGGGATCTGACAAATGTTCTAGAAAATCTCCCAAGGAAAGCTGAAACACAGTCTATCCTTGAAATTCTTCCAGGAACTAGGCTCTCCTTTTCATAAAAGTTAATTTTTCAAGAACAATGACACAGTCATGCATGGGGTGCTGTGGGAAAGCAAATAAAGAGTTGTGGTCCTTTAGCCATATTACATGATTGCAGTTATCTTCAAGAATCACTATTCTCATTTTACCATTGAGAAAGCTTAGGTTCAAGGAGGCCCCACAGTTACTCAGTTGTGGTGCAGGATGCTCTGATAGCAAATCCAATGTTTGTCCTTCACCGCTCTCCCTTCCATTCAGGAAACGTTCCTTTTCTAATGAAAATCAAACAAATAATGACTGCAGTGGAACTGTTGGTGCCCTATGTGGATCCCCTTTACCCAGCTGCTGTGAGTCTTGCCTAATGCCCATGGCTGCCCCCTTCTCCAGAGAATGGCCAGATGTACCAGAAAGCTCAGAGCCTGTGAGATTATGCCTTCCCCCTTCCTAACGGCAGCCCATGACAGGCAATGTTGGGTACAAAATGTCCATCCCCTTCCCTCAACGTGGGACAACTCTTTAGTCCTCTTAATGCTCGAGTCTCCCATGGACCAGGCCAAGGCTGAGAACAGATTCGTGCTCATCTCTTTCTCCTTCCCCATCCTGCTTCACTCAGTTTCCTGCAAGTTCCCCATGTCCCCAAGAACATGCCCTCAGCAGATCACATTCATGCAAAGATCTGAAGATTAGCCACATTTGATTGAAAGTTGACAGAATATTTTTGACTTGCCTACCTTCTTGAACACCATTCCCCAAACCAGTCTTCCCTTTGCTTGAAGTAGCATTGTGACACCATCAAAGAAAATGCAAGTGCACCAGGGAGTTTGTTTAGTGCTGGGCAACTCTACCTTGCTTAGCTCTCTCCCTTAGTGACCATTTCTCCAGCAGCCCTGGACTCCCAAACCTACTTTATGATATACCTTTAAAAAAACCCCACAATAATTAAACATCTTTGAAATTGGGATGTGTCATATATTTGCTGTTGGTCTAGACTGAATTCACATTTTTCAAAAGAGGAGTTGTGTTTGTTTCTGCTATTTATTTGGAGCACTGCTAGCCTGACACCCCTTTAAATTAAATTCTCATGTTTTTACTTTTAAAAACCATGACGATAGTATTAATTCAGCTTGCAAATTTGCTTGCTTGCATACCAGTTTGTGTTGAAGCTTCTCAGGGGAGATTCTTTTTTCCTTCCTCTGATTAAAGGCAAGTTTTTTCCTGTTCTTTTCTATGTGGAAGCTTTATTTTTTCTTTAACCTTACACAGAAGGCGTAGCCATTTTTTACCTCCAGTTCTCCACAGTGGGCTCCTATTAAACTCCACACATTTGAGATTTTTTTTAATTTTCTACATCACACACAAAATAATGTACATTTTTTCAATCAATGGCAGTAGGGGTTTGATAAAATACTCAAATAATTTTAATTATCATGAGATAAGTTAGCAACGTGGAGTCATTGGTGATCTTGACAAGTTCCATTTCTGTGCAGTGGTGTGGTTAAAAGCCTGATCAGAATGGACTTCAGGGAGAATGGCAATCAGTACAGACAACTCTTCTGGGGAGTTTGCTACAGAGGGGAGCAGGAAAATGAGGCAGTAGCTGGGGTAGTAGGTGGACAGGGAAGAGGAGTCTCTTAGAGAGATAACAGTATGTCTGTGTGGCAGGGACTGAGCCAGTAGAGAGGGAGAAGAATTGCTGGAGCTAGGTCCTGGGGTAAGCAAGAGGGGGTGCATTCCAATGCATATGTTTAAGGATTGACTTTCCATAGGACAGTTCATGAATGGTGACAGGCAGGTCAGCAGAGTATGTAGATACAGTGGTAAGAGTCTGGGGAAGTTCTTTTCTGGATTTCTTCCACGTTCCCAATGGTCTAGGAAGCAAGGTCAACTGAGCTGAAGGTAGGGAAGAGGTGTTGGAGGTTTGCAGAGAGAGGAGAGGATATGTAATATTCATCAAGGAGAACAAGAGGGTGGATGCCGTACGCAAGCAGATGGAGTATGTTTGCTGGCAGCACTGAGGCTCACTTCAAGTTTTGGTTCTGAATTTAAAGGAAGATCATTCAACATGGTCTGTGATTTTCTTCAGGCATGGAGTAGGCAGAGAAGTGAAATTAACTGGGGCTGCGTGTACTGAATGTGCCGAGAAACAAGGGAGCTGCAGAGATATGCAAGAGAATGATTATAGTGATTATTGAGGACTTTAGCCTGGAAAAAAAGAATGAGGGGCCATAAATGGGGTGCATAGATGGAAAGGTCAATGAATTGGTACTTCTGATGGCAACAAAGTTCCAACAGTGCTGTTACTGTACTGTTATTGGAACATTTCAGACAGAGAGATAGAACGTGGTAGTTAGAGAAGAGGATTCAGGAAGTTGAGAATATAACAGTTTTCTAGGAATTGATGATAAAGTCATGTTGTGACTGTAATGTGGAAAGCAGTCTTGTAAAAGAGGAGCTCAAGAGTCTTGGGGTCCAGCATGTTGGAAAGATGATCTATCTTTCTAGCTATCTATCATTTATCTATTAATAATATCTATCATCTATTTATCTTATCTATTGTCTCTCTCCCTCTCTCTTTCTCTAGCTGGCTAACTAGGTAGCTCCAAGAGTTGAGACGAGAGTAGCGCTGGAAATGGTCACCGTAAGGAAGGAGGTAAAACATGGCAGAGAGTACCCTATGGAGCTTACATTCCTATAGGGGAAGACATAAGAATGATCACACTGAAAAAGTAAATGAGATAGCCTGGCAGAAGGCGAGGGGCATTGGATGTGCCAAGCGACTGGGGTGAGTTATACCAACAAATTAGGTGATCAGCGGGGACCTCATTGAAATGGTAATGTTTGAGGAGGGATTTGAATGAGATGATGGAATTGGCTAGGTGGGAATCTGGGGAAAGAGCATTCCAACAGGAGGGAACAACCAGCACAAGGGCCCTGAGGTGTTAAGTCTGCCTGGTGTGTTTGAGGAGTAGCAAGGAGGCCAGTGTGAGTAGAGTGGAAAGAATAATATGGGTGTTACTACGCGTAGAGTAGTAGTGATGCTACTTATGTGGAGGAAATGAGAGTGTGAGAGTGGATCACATAAGAATTTAGATTGCCCTCTGAATGATATGAGAACCAATGGAGGCTTGGAGCAAAGAAGTGACATGATCTGACTTATGGCTGCTGCATTGACAATAAACCATGCTTCATTCAGTATCTGGAAAGGACAGAAACCATAGTTAGCAACCTGGAGAATATGGTAAAAAGAAATCTTATTTTCCCTTAATTGCTTTACAGCACAATGTGAGGAAAGCTCATTAATTAGAAGGCCACAAAAACACAGCAGTCTGCCAAAGATGAAATACTTATGAAAAAGCATATATATGTAATAGTCTTTATGATAGAATAAACATTAATTATAAAGTTACTGAGCATTAAAGTAATGACAACTTTTTTGAAAACAAACAAACAAAAAAAAGAAATCTTAAAAGGGAAAAGAGAGAAGAAACCAACAGTATCCTTTCTCTGATTGCAGACATCCTGTCCGCAACATAAAAATTGAGTGTATTGACTTCTCCAGGTAATTGGATGTTTCTAGTACTACACTGAAATTGCTTGTATTTCCTGAAAGCAACTTGAAAATTCATGGAGTTGCTTTCATACAGGGGCTAGGGAAGAACTAGCCCTGCTAAGCACATTTCAAGGGCGAATGAAGGATTTCTCAACTTTAGCACTACTGATACCTTGACCAGATCATTCTCTGTTGTTAGGGGAGGGGGCCAGCCTGGGCATCATAGGATGTGTAGCAGCGTCTCTAGTCTCTACACACAAGATGCTGGTAGTGCTTTCCTCCAGTTATAACAGCCAAAATTGTCTCCAGACATTGCCAAATGTCCTCTGGGGGGCAGAGTTGACTCTGTTGAGAACAACTGGATTAAGACAAGACAAAAATATAATAATATTGCTTTAGGATTACATGCTTCATGTAACACCAGTTAAAATGGCCTATAAAAGCCCTCTTTTCTCCTCAGTCTCCTTGGGCTCCTGCTAAGGTGCTCAGCCCCTCTCTTTTTAGATGCTTTTTTCATCTTTCATCTGTTCCTCCTTTTTTCAGCCCCCTATTACCTCCTTCTAGGAGTGTCCTCAGAAACTCAGATTTTCTCTTACTTTATTATTACTTTTTGGTTTTATAAGTTTATTTGACGTATCTGACAGTCAGTGGTTAGCTCTCATCCACATTGACTGTCTGCAGATTTTTGAAAGTGGTAACAGGTACACAGGTAACCAAAGTATAGAGCTTGTTTGGTGAATCTTCATCCTCATTATGTTTATTGGACAACCGCATGTGAATACAGTATGGGACAGTCTTTATTCCTATGGTCCAGACAGCTTTGTTGAGTCTGGTATCAATACGTGCATTTGGAGTCCCCACCTCCTTCATGGCAAATTTCTGGATCTCTTTGAGTGCGCAAGGGGCATGCTTCTTGAAGCTCACTCCATGGATGTGCTTATGAATGTTGATGGCGTATTCTTGGGTCACCACCTCGTTGATGGCAGAATGGCTCTACTTCTTGCCACCCTTCTTTGTGGGAGACATTCTGCAGGGCCCAAGTTGGAAAGTCCTCTTACTTTATTACACAGTGCAATCCCACTCTCTTTTTGTCTCGTAGGAGCCCAGAAGGTTGGGGCAGTGCTTGTGTGTGTGTGCATGTGCATGTGTGTGATGAGAGGGTGTGGGATGGGCATGTTATTGTCTTTAGTTCAAAATATCTCATCAAGTTATTTCTTTAAACAGAGAGCCATATCCACTGGAAAGCAATCATGCCAGTCCTCAGGTAGACACCGCTACAAATGCTAGAAGTTTTAAATAGGAAATCTCCCACTTGGCAACCACCCTGCCCCAGGCACACACAGGAATTATGGAAAATGAGAGAGCAAATTCCAGAGCAGGGGCTTGATCCTCTGCTTTTAGAGGTGCTGTCTGTAAGTGTTATACATAATCAATAAAAACTTTCACCTCTTAAATTGATGAAACATATATATCAATCAGACATGAAGGGATGTAAACTTTCTGAAGTACAAATCAATGGATTAAAAGTAGCCAGTCATTGGCCGGGCGCTGTGGCTCACGCCTGTAATCCTAGCTCTTGGGAGGCCGAGGCGGGCGGATTGCTCAAGGTCAGGAGTTCAAAACCAGCCTGAGCAAGAGCGAGACCCCGTCTCTACTATAAAAAAAACAGAAAGAAATTAATTGGCCAACTGATATATATATATATAAAAAATTAGCCGGGCATAGTGGCACATGCCTGTAGTCCCAGCTACTCGGGAGGCTGAGGCAGAAGGATCACTCGAGCCCAGGAGTTTGAGGTTGCTGTGAGCTAGGTTGAGGCCACGGCACTCACTCTAGCCTGGACAACAAAGTGAGACTCTGTCTCAAAAAAAAAAATAAATAAAAAAGTAGCCAGTCAAATAAAATCATATTAAATAAACTTACCGTCTTATGCTGATGTACAGTGCATAGATTTTACCATCTCACCTTACTTTGATTTCTGCTAATAAGAAGACAAATGAAAGATTTAAAAAATATGGCATTAAAATGTGGCATTAAAAATGACAGGCATTTTTCAGGTAGGGTTTTGTGAGTTTTTTTAAACCACATTTTGAGAAATTACTGACAGAGATTAGTTTTAGCTGCCCTCTTCGTTTCATTAGAAATGTCTCTATTGATAGCATGGACATCATAGAAAGAAATCTTTCGTCAAATTGTAGTCTAAAGATCAGGAAAACATCCTGTTTCTTAGGCTTCCATATAAATACTATTAATAATTTCATTTTACCTTCAGGTATTATGAGTCATACTTGCCTTTAAAATGTACAAACAATCCTCTTGGTATTTTTCATGGACTTTTTCATCTTCTGATTCTTCCTTTTATCCTTTGAGGTAAAAATCCTCAAAGAAATGTCTTTCAAACTCCAGGCTAGTATACTATGCTGTAGTTTATTTTGAGTACCTTCAATCAAAATTCTTTCTATTTTAATCACATAACCCATTCTTTTCTTTGTAACAGTAGATTTCAACCATCATAAAAATGCTTTCTGTTTGATTACTGCCTACCCATTTTTTTTTTTTTTTGTCTACCCATTTTAAAGGATGTTTTTAGTGGCTGAACTGAATGGTCAGCCATATGGCAAAAACCAATTGGTGTGTCTGTATGTGAGTGAGTGAGTGTGTGTGTGTGTGTGTGTGTGTGTGTGTGTGTGTTGCTATTTTGTAACTTGTTGGCTTCTTTTTGACTTCATCAGTCTGAAGTGCGAACAACAGAGTTCAGAGTCACGTCCCAAAGTATAGCAATTGGACTCATACTTTCCAGAAAGTCTAATCTGCCCCCTTCCCTCCACCCCGAAATTCTTTAGGGAGAAAATTAAAATTACTGTTCATCAAAAGATACCTTAAATAAAGTGTAAAAGAAAAATTTAAAACTGGTTGAGATAATTGATAAAGGACTGGTATCCAGTACATACGAAGAGCTTCTATAAATCAGTAAGATAAAGACAAATAACCAATGGAATAATTGATAAAGAAAACCACAATGGGCATTTTATAAAAAAGGAACTACATATGGTCAATAAACATATATAAAGAAATGCTCAACTTCATCAGCAATCAAACTGATACAAATCAAAGCTAGTTTTTGCTATTTTTTGACTTTATATATCACAAATATGTGTGATAAAACTACATAACTATACACATATTTATAACAAGGGAAGGATAAACATAATAATCTAAATTATGTTTATTCAGAGAGAAGGCAGAATTATAAAATTTGAGAGGCATGCATAGTTAGATGTAAATTATTTGTAATATGTTAGGTTTTTGTTTGTTGGTGGATTCATTTGTGCTCATTATAGTATTTAAAAAGTAGGTGATGGCTAGCTAGGTAGCAAGCTATGTTTGGACCAAAGATTTTGGTGAATTGTAAGCCAGAGATGATGATGATTCCAATTCTGTGCAACTGAGGTGCTTAAAAGTGACTTGGGATGAGGAAAATAAAACCTTTCTTAAAATAATTTCAAAAGCTTAAACTGGTAAAGAGGGCTTGTAAGCTAAAGGAGCTTATATTAGTCAGGAAGGGGAAGATTATGCTGCAATAATAAATAAGCCTCAAATCTCCAAATCCCAGTGATCTACTACAACAAAGGATTATTCTTCATGTTCACAGTAAGCCCAGTGTGAATCTACACTCAGGACCCAGGTTGGTGGAGGCTCTACCATTTCAGAGCTGCACTATCGCAAATACTCTGATTCTTTGATAATCACAGTAGGGGACAAAAGCACTGACAGGTCTCAAACATGAAATTAAATGTTTCAGTTTGAAAGTGACTCGTGTGATTTATGCTCACAGCCCACGATTACAACTAGTCCATGACCTTGACTAACTGCAAGGGAAGTGTGCCCCAAAGGAGAGAGGAACAAAATTTATGTAAGCACTAGTCTTTACCACAGAGCTGTTTTCAACAGAGACACAGTGGCAATGCTCCCATGTCTAGATGACAAACTATGACAGACCAGGGTAAGGAATATGCTCTACTTCTGCATAGGATGGCTTCTATGCATTGATAGCTCCAGAGAAGCTAGCTTAGCAGTATACTCTGGAGAATTTTAAACTTTGGATTTTCATGCAACATACTACAGAGATCTCCAGGAATACTTGGGTTAGGCATTGAATTGAAGAGGCTGAAGGTCTTGCATTGACCTTTATAAGCAAGCATCAGAGAGAATTGAGGGTTATTACTACTAATGTGAGCACATTTGCATCACAGACAAGTATAATTCAGGCAAACACCTGTTACCTTCAGAACATTGCAAGTTATGCGGTGCTAGTGTTTGCTTTGCCTCATATTTCTCTCAGCTTGCAGTGAGAGCAAATGTTAAATCAGAGCTACCTTTGAAGTCGCCAGGGGTGACTATGAGTTCAGTGTGAAATCAAGACTCCTTTATCTTGCTCATTTTCTTTTCTCCCAGAATCCTCTGACATTTTAGCAATTGCCATACTCCAATGTCGAAGCATGCTTCGAGTTGGACATAAGTTATAAAGTGTATTCTGGCACCAGGCTCCAGCCATCAGAATCTCTGATGGGAGAGATTTATTTGGCTTCTCTCAGGGTGTACTGATGTGAAAGTCTCATTCATCAGTTCTCTCCCTGCCTCTTTGGCAACTGGCTCCTAGGCGGAACATAAGCTATGCTCACATGCAAGCATAGACAGTAAAATGGATTCGTCAGTATTGATGACCTCATGTGAGTCTTCTGCAGCTTAACCCCTAGAGCCATCCGATATAGGTCAGCCCCCTTTGTTCTCTCCCTCCTACACACCCTGTGATTCCTTTTTACTGCAACCACAGCATATTCTACATTGAGAGGAGGTCTGCAGGGTGAGATGCCGTCTCCAGATGGTTTCCAGGAAAACACAATAATAATACTGCCACCTAAAATAAATACAGCAAATCGCTTCAGGAGAAGACATCAGAGATAGAGAAAACAGTAAATATTGGGAAGTTACAAAAATTGATGTATCAATCAGTCTTCATTCAGAGAAATAGCACCACTAAGAGATATATGTTATATATATTTACATTAATATATAAAGTATATATTTATACATAGTGTACGTTTACTTTTATAAATTACACACATACATGTGCATACACATCCATCCATATATATATTTAAGGGCTTTATTACAGAGATCTGACTTGACACAATCGTGTCTGGGTAAGCAGTCTTTGTAAGGCTGCTGCTTTTGCCTCTGATGTCGGAGCTTGACGTCTGTAGGGCAGGCAGTTGGGAAGGAAAGATAGATGTAAGTTTGGGGAAATCACGAGCAGGCTGAAACCCACAAGCGTGATCTGGAGCCCCATAAGAACAAAGGAAAATCCATGTCAGTTCTTGTGGTTGCTGATGTTAGTCGTGTGGATGTCCTGAAAAAGCTGGCATTCTTCATCACAGAGCGAAACACACACACCTGACCCAGGAGTCAGAGACGCGGAATGAGGACCTAGAGGAAGGTGGAAAAGGTGCAGCTAATATTGTGAGTTGGTTGGGCAGAGACAATGTGTCTGAGCTACAAAATGGCCACTGTTCTTGAGTTTACTGAACATCTGTGTATTTTTAATTAGTCAGAAATGTTAATGGGGTGTGTGTATTTGCATGTGTGTGTGTGTTGCATTGGCTTTCCTTAGACTGAACATTAGATTTGATATGAACTTGGCCTTTCCTTTAAAATAACCGCTACCCATGTAGCCTGGAAATTGATTTTGTAATGGAAGTCTGTGCTCAAAACGAGGATGGAAAAACATAGATCAATACAGATCCCTGTGTTACATATTATTCACAAAGGGACTCTTTCTCGTCTTATGCTAGGAGGGCTGTGTGTGTGTGTGTGTATGTGTGTGCGTGTTTGTGTTTATTGAGGAGAAATGTTGTTGGGAATGAAGAGAGTAAAATACATATAAAATGTATAAACGCATATAAAAATAAGCACACTCTCTTGAGGATAAAAGCTACAACTTTATAGAAAGGAAATCTTCCACTTTA